TCTTAGAATAGCATATGATCTTCATTTTCATCAAATTAGAATATAGGTTTTCAATACAGTTTACTGTAAAAAAAATCGTCAATAGGGCATTTGAAATATGCGGCAAATTTAGACCAAAAAAAATTATAACTCCAAATGTATAAAGTTTATGAAAAATCCATTCTGAAGGGATTGTAGAACAGACAGCTGAGCATACAATATGTCAAAATAGTGAGAATCGATCAAAAACTGGAATTTTAGAAGCCATTCAAAGTTGACACTCTAGTTTCAGAGATAATTGAAGTTGAAGTTATCAACAATAAAGGTAATTTTAATTCGTTAATTTAATTGTATGTTTTAATAAACATTGGTATTCGTACTCGAATGTGTGTGAATTTTTGGTCAATATGTGTTGAAATGAAGTCAAGAAAAAATAACCACAAAAAATATAGGGATAAATATAATGATTTAGGGATATATTTAGGGGTATACTTTATATAGGTGAAAAAAACCTAATATGGTCCCAAATGATCTAAAGAGACAAAGAAAATAGAGTTTGAAATCAGAGAAATAGTCAGCCAAAAAAAATTAAAAGTACCAAGTTTTGCGAGTTGTGACTGATTTATTTGTTGACCAATTTCATTCTATCTTCACATAGTTATGGAAACATATGCACTCTCCAGGATGTAAAGGTTATAAAAATAACAAAATCAGATAATAAAGGATAAAAAAACTAAAATCTTAAAAAAATAGAAATTTCCCCTAAAAACAAAATTGGGGGACATTGATGAAAGTAACATATAATAACATTGGACTATATTTATATGATATATAACAAAATAGAGCATATTAACATAGTTATTCATTATTATTTGTGTTATTATGTATTACTCAGCAATGATATAAAGGCACCAACTGCATATCCACTTTGTGGACACTTTTTACTACTATTTTTTCTTCTTTGACCATCAGACAAGTGCTTGCATCTCAATATTACTGCATAATCCTTCAGTTCCAATTATTAGGAGCTGTTCTCATCATCAACAAAACGTTCTTATTTTTAAAAAATTTGTCTAAAATTAATTTTTGAAAATATTTTGATGAAAGTTTCACGACACTGAAGCCAATAAGTTGGAGATTTGTTTAGCATTTTTTAGTTATTTTTACATAATTCAAATATTTTTCGCTACCAGGCCCCCAATATGTGCGGTCTAAGGGTTAAAGGAGGAAGGGCTGCGCAACACCACCAAAGGCCGGAAGAACGACCCAAAAAAATACCCACAAGTCATGGAACCAGGTATATTCAAAAGAGCTAGCCCCCCCCCCCCCCCATTGCCCTGACAACGGGGTGACCCGCGACAGGGCTGAAGCGAACCCAGAGATGTCGACCCTTGTACAAAGCGAACACTGTGCCAACCAGACGAAGAAGGTATTGGGAGCTCACCGAGAGACAAACTGGCTCCAGAGGCCTATCCCAACCAAACGAGGCTTGAGCCTGGCACAACCAATCTGGGAGGGCCAGGAATGACCCCCCCCCCCTCCCCCGGAGAACCAACAAGCCCAACATAGGCTGGTAACGAGCAGTAGCTGCCTACAGAAAATGGGAAAGAACAGGCATGAGACAAAGCCAACGACAGAACCAGCACAGCCTGTCAACATGGGAGATGAGGGGTGAAAACATAGAAAACTGCCTCCTGGAGGATCAGCACAAATAGCATCAAGGTAGAGAGCGCAGTAGTAGTTTAGACCAAGACCCCAGCCAAGGGGCCCCCACCCTGCACTCCCACATCCCCTGAAAGCCAATTTGAAAACAGCTCCAGAAGACTAAGAAACGCAAGACACAGGCCAAACTATGGTGAGTCTGAAAGGCATCTACGGCCAAAGTAGCCAAAAGAGTGGGAACTGGAGCATGAAGCTGCACCAGACTAACATTACAAGGAAGCTCAGGGGGTGAAGAAGCACTCATGAGAAACTCCAGAGACAAGAACAGCAATACTGTGGAACCTCCTGCCACTTGACGTGTTGTTATGACAAAAGCCACGCCAAGCCTGAAGAGAGAAAAAGGAATAATCTACCGGCCAGAAAAACTCGGAAACCACTCGACGCCCTCAAGAAGGGAAGAGAAGCCGAACTGAAAAGAAGCTGGATCCAACACTGAAGAGTAAGCCTGGTCCTGCAGAAGGTAAGCATTAAAAGCCTCCTGAACCACTGCAGGAAAAATCCAAGAGGAAGAAAAGCTCCAAAAAGACGAATCTGAGGAACCCAAAGGCCTCCTGGAAACGAACCCTCTGCACCCAACACACTCATAAAGGGAAGAAGGGTACAAAACCCCCTTCCCCCCCCCCTATCCTGCAGAAGCCCCTGTGCAGAGGACACAAGAACCCAAGCAGGGTCAAAAGGAACCCAAGAGCTCCAAGCGGACTCCCCTAGAAATCATCAATGAAGGCCCCGGGGCAGAGCCTTCATCCACGTCCGAGTCCAAGGGAAAAGCTTAAAAGAAGGTAGTCTGTTGGATTGACTCAGAAGCCTCGGCAGGAAAGAAGGGCTCAACTACCTCTGCGCCCGCATCGAAAGGGGCAGCCTCCAATGCCACCCGAGCCTCGTCCTGAGCTAAACCCTCAGACGTTCGGGAGCCAGAAGCAGGGGGAGGAGCAGTACAAATCACGCCCACCTGGGAAGGAAGAGGAGGCATGGAAGGAACCAAAGTCGAAACAACTAACACCCACACACCAAGTCCCCAAAACCCAAGCGGGTCAGCTCCGGGACCTCGAACTGGGCAACCAGCCTGTTGCAATAACGAGAACCAATCATGCAATGCAGTGGCACCCTGATCCCAAATATCATTAAAGAGGGATGAGGAATAAGGAGCACAAGCGGGGAACCAGTCCCACCAGACCCCGGGTCACAGATGTCCCTGACCCCCAAGCAGCAGGTGTCCCCGACCCCCAGTCAGTATGATGGAGGCATGATGGATGATTGTCTCCCGAGGCAGGGGCGACAAACAACCCTCAAAGTCGCCCAAGGTGGGTGAGCTCTGAAGAAGTACCATTGTACAACCAAGCCCACGGGTTTTCCAGGGCCCATAGAGTGAAGATCCCCTATCGGAAGCCCAAGCACTGGGGGCCAGCCAAGCCGGTAAACCCTGTCTAAAGTAGGCAAGTTGACTACAAGTAGCAGTCGTGAAGCAACAGAGGAGGCCCACCACCACAACCTAGGCTAAGCCTAATAAGGAGCTAGGCAGAACTCCACTGCTACAAGAGCGTAAAATGCCAATATGAAAACAAAAGCAAACCATCAAAATCACACAACAAGCAAACAAGCAGCTGGAGTAACTACTGTTGGCACAGCTTGCTTGAGACTCGCCAGCAAACACACCCCTTCCATGGGGCAAAGTGGAAATCCCCGAAGACCCCCGACTCGCCCCAATGACGAGGACAACCACAAGCGAGGAAGCCCTATAAAGGGGGAGTGTTTCCCGAATGTTCCAGGGAAGATGACCCTGAGACACAAGGGCAGTACTTACGGACCCCCTAGGCGCATGCTGCTCCAGAACTCCAAATTCCTAGCAACATGCACACATCCGTTTCATAACACCGCAGCAAGGGTGAAACACCAAAGAAAATGGGAATATGGAGCCAGAGCGACAGTGACCACTCGGCACTGCATCAGTCAAAGGACTGTAGGTTGGTGACAGGTAAGGCCGGTTCCTCCTGCCCTGGGGCCAGATTCACAAAAACACTTACGCAAACACTTATGAACCTGTACATCTTTTCTCAATCTTTGGAGGCTTTGTTTTCAATTATTATACACTTAATGAGCTCCGAAGCACCAGGAGGTTGTTTATAACAATACCAACAGTTGAATGGGAAGTTTTCATGCTTGTAAATTGTTTAATAAATGTTATCAAAGCCGTCCAAGTTTGAGGAAAGATGTACACGTTCGTAAGTGCTTGCGTAAGTGCTTTCGTGAATCTGGCCCCTGGGGGTTAGTTAGATGAAATTTTGCTTGCTTGTTTGCTCTTTGGGAGAGTTCTTTTGCACTTGTGAGGAAGTAAGCTGCATTTTCAACCCGTTTTCAGTGATCGGTTTTATTCTCGTACCTGTCTGAGTGCTTTCTCTGGTCGATGCCAAGATGATATACTTTAAATGTAAAGCGTTCATGGCCATGCTCCCTTTACCTCCATGAGAAAACCAGGTTCTGGCTCATGGTCCGTGGAAGGCTTAAAAAGAACTCTGTGACTGATGCCACTCAAGTAGTAGCCACACTTGATCAGTAAGATTGCTTCAGGGAGCCTCTGGGGCTCCCTCCAGAAAACAGTAATGTACATGATCAGATTTAAAGTAAAATAAGAGAATATTTATTTCTATGCTGTAAAGATGGCTAAAATTAACTTAACAAAAATTTATGAAAAAGGAAGACTTGGCATTGATAATACTGTAAGCTTTTTGTAAACCTTTATGCTGTAAAATCTGGGAATTGCATAAGAGGCAAGCAGTTGCAGCTTGCCATTTGCAAAATCCAAATTTTTTGACATTTGAGTTTGAATAATGATTACAACTTTTTCTATCATGATGCACTGCATGTTCTATAAGCTTATCAGACATATTTTGAAATGCTATGAAAAGATCAGTTATGAAAAAGGTGGTTTAATATGCTTTTGGAATTTTCACCATGAATGTGTCATGCTTGTAAGGAATTAATTTCAATGTAAAATCTTTAAACAAAAAATATTCCATTCAAAATTTCTGAATAAAGTACAGTACAGTATTAGGAAAGTGAAATTTGTGATGCAACACATTCAAATAATGGATGAAGTAGAGAGCCCACAAGTCAAGACCAAGAAATCAATACCAACAAAGGAATAACATGATGGGTCCTGAACTATGTTATTACCTATACATAATCTGGACCAGGTCCTTGAGGAGTGAAGAATATTAACAATATTGAGAATTACAAAAGTTATACTAATATCCAAAAGTGGAAACATAAGATCCATTGAATTACCGGAGATTTAATGCAAAGAAAGATAAGCTAAGCTACAAGTGACATTTTTTTTTTTTGTAATGACAAATCAAAATATTTTTTCACGTATCTTCTCAAAACTAAAGGCATAAACCTAACACAATAGAATGTGAAATAAATATCTTTGCGAGATAAATTGTGGTTAGATATTTGCAAACAAGTTAAATAATTTAGCAGCCGCGTCCAACAGCCTGGTTGATCAGTCCAGCAACCAGGCCTGGTCGACAACCGGGCGGCGGGGACGCTAAGCCCCGGAAGCACCCCAAGGTAACCCAAGGTACAGTAGGTAGATGGGAATTGCAGAATGAGGAGGTATGAGCACAACATAGAAAATCTTGCAAAAATCTTGCAAATATAATAAATGAGTTGAGGACAGGATACCGATAGTTTGAGCTCTTATTTTGCATTACAACAAAAATATTTACTTGCTGTCCTGGCTGGTGAAATGTTCAGAACAGTTTGAGAGGGAGTTGGTAATTATTACACCATTACCATCAACGTACTGAATACATAAAATAATGTAATTGGATTCTCATAAAACTATAATTAACTGCATCTAAATTTTAGCAACTTTACAACAAATGTCTTCCATTCCTAAACATATTTGCATCAGTAGAATAAAACACTGTAAAAGTTTACTACTGTATACATTTTCTCTTGATGTATGATAATATAACATAAGGATCTTACTGTACTGTGTATTCATCTCATGTGGATACACTTAAAATAAGCTTGAATCACAAAAATGTTTCAATACTGCACTCTTATTTTAGTACAGAAAAAAAAGAATCGCACGAGCATTGTGCAGAAGGAAATGTAGGCATGTGTGACTAGGAACACACAAGTTGGTGTACACATAAATGGGCTTGATCCTGAGTTCACCATAGCTACCACTGTTCTTCTGTGCTGTAAATTCTGGGAACCTGCAGCGAGGAGTGGCATGATGTGCGGTGAAGCATGTAGAACACCCGAGTATACGCTACTGGGGCCAGGTGACCGCTTAACTGTCATCACCATGCTCACTGTAGCACAGACTCGTCCTAAGAATTCATCACTCACATCACTGAGAGTTACCTCCTTCCAGTAATGGCACCTGTGGAACCCACAATTTTTTTCCAGATGTTGAGCTGAGGTGTTGGCCGTCTGGCAACATGCTAGGTAAAAAGTCATTTGATTAGAATTTGAAATGGCACAGGTAGAAAGTTTTAAGTATGGTATAATTTACATGTATTTCAACATGTATTTCAGTATAGTTTATTTCAGTATACTTCATGTATTTCAGTATATGAAATACAAAATGACTATAAAATTTATATAATAATTGCATAATTTCCATAAGACAACCCACACCAGCAAAATATATCACACAAAAGTGAATGACATTGACAATGGTAAGAAGGGCACATGCAAACACTGGTAACAAACCACAACTGTAGGCAGGCGCAGCACTACCGGAGTGCCCTGGTGGCCAGTTGTGGCAACGTAAACAGTAGAGCAAAATGGTTGCCAAAACAACTAAACGACACCAGAGTTCAACACAGGACAAAACTTCCAAGCAAAAGATGGATGTGCCTGACATGAGGGGTGTGGAAATCATGCTGGCAAATATGGTAAAACTAATGCAAAAGGGAAGGAGAGGACAAAAACTTTCTTCAGGGATTGTGGCAACAACCCCTGCCCAGGAGACACCGGGGCCCAAACAGGGAAAAAGGAGCCAAAGTTCTCCAAGCAGACTCCACCCCCTCCCCTTCCCCCCCCCCTGAGGACCGGGGATGCCTGACACAGACCCCGGGGCAGAACCCTCATCCACACCCACCACCGCTGAAGAAAAGGCAGAGTCCAAGGGAAAGGCTTCCAGAAAGGAAGAACAGGCTTAACCACTATCATGCCAGAATCGGAAGGGTAAGTCCCTGGAACCATCCGAGCCTCACCCCAAGCTAAACCCTGCCTCTACTGTGAAATCCTCAGATGTTTGGGAGCTGGAAGCAGGGGGGTAGTTAGCAGGGCAAACCACACACCCATCGACCAGGGGTTGGCACCCAGAAAGGTAGGCATAACGAAACAGACCCCACATGATGAGAAAATTGCAACCGAAGACTGAACAGAAAGGCAGAACTCCCCTAACCTAAAGAAACAAGCAAACGTGTCACACACCGCCTGTGCTCTGCTGCTTATCTACTCAGCCCTCTCATCCCCCCCCCCCCACGCCGGCTACTCAACAACTCTAGTTCGGAGGCTGAGCATCCGGGGCTCACCCAGAAAATGGCGTTTCATTACATTCAACAATGGTTTTCTGTTGGGAGCCCCTCCGGCTCCCTGGAGCTACCTAACCAAAGACAAGTAAAAGAGGGACTTACAAGGGAGGCGGCTGCCACTCGCTCCTTAACTTGAAATCGAGATAACTGGCTGCAACCTGCGATCCAGAGCCACACTTGAACGTTCAGGACCGGGAATGTTGACCAAATACCGAGTGGTGCCCGAATGTCAGCCCAAGACATGTTGCTGAAGACGGCAGCCAAAGCAGCAAACTTATGAACGTCATGGGCACGAGGATAGACTGCAGGCTGGCCAGACTTAATAACCTTGCAGACAACCTGGGAGATCCAAGCCCGAGAACGAGGGAAACCGGATCAACTCGAAGCTTCCCGGCCACCGAGGCCGAGGTGTGTAAATAACGGCGAAGAGCCACAACCGAACACAACACATGATGCACCCCCGGCCTGACCAACCAAACACCAATGAATCAAAGGCCTCTCTGGAAAGCCGCAGTCTTATTCTTTGTTAGAAAAGGAGATGGCTACAACTGAACAAACCACCACCAGGATCGAATGAGCAGAAACCCCTGCGCTGGAGGAGAGCATGAAGCTCCCCAATCCGACCCCCCAGAGGCCAATGCCAACAGAAAAAGAGCCTGGGAAAACAATCTTGAACAGAAGGGGCCACCACAAACCGAGGAGAAGAGAGAAAGAGAGCACCCCCTCTTCAAGGACCAGGATGGCTAAGGCAGCGCAGGAGCAGGCCGGAAGTGAAACAAAGCACGAGAAAGCTTACAGAACAGGGCAGAAGTGACATCCACCCCAAATGCAAGCTGAAGCGGCTCCACCTGTGCCGCACGATATGAGGCGACAGTATTCGACATCAAATAATGGTCTAGAAATGGCTGAGAAAGGACAAGCGACCCGATCAGAAATAGAAGACGACCTACGAAGAGAGAGAAAATGGCAAAATGAATGCCGGGAAACCTCATACTGTCGCCGAGACGAAGCTCACAAGTGGGACAGTATCAACGAAGCCACCTGATCACCATACAAGTGGTGGTATACCTGTGTCAAAATGACCAGATGCGAAGAGCAGAGGAATACACCGAACCAACCATGTACTGGATCAGGCGGAGCTGTGGAAAACATATTGGGTTCGGACACCGAGCAAGCAGCTCCTGAAACCAGGGCTGGGCTGGCCACCAAGGTGCCAACAGGACTACTCTTCCCTGGTAAGTCTCCAAACAAGCCAGGACTTGAAGCAATAGCTGGACTGGGAAGAGGTACATGTAACCCCACCTCGACTGGTCTTGGCGAAAAGCGTCCACCATGACGGCGTCGCAGTCAGGGAAGGGTGCCACATATATCGGGAGATGCCGAGACCATGCCAATGCAAGAAGGTCCACCTTCGGGAGCCCGTACGTCCGGCAGAGCCAACTGAAGGAGTTGGCGTTGACTGTTCATTCTGTGGACAGGCAATGAACCGAGACATGCCGGCTGCTGTGATGTTGGACACCCCTTGGATATGAACTGCACAAAGCCAAACCCTGAGAATCCAGCAGACGAGTCACTCGAAGTGACTAGCCACAAGGAGCCAAGGACCGAAGAGAACCCCCTCGGTTCAGGAAATGAACCACTGAAGAGCAGTCCGGATGGAGCCGAATAGTGGAACTCAGAGTTCCCGAACCCTCCGAAGCGACAGCCAAACTGCCACTAACAGTGCTGTGAGCCCGACGGAAGGACGAAGCCCACTGCCCCTGGCCAGCCTGGTGAGCACTGGTCACAAAACTCAAGCCGAGAGACAAGGCTCCTGTGAACACATCGAGTGAGGGCTCGGATAGGCGCCAAGGCACTGAACCCCAAAAAACCTGAAGAGGAAGCTGGCAATGCAGCAACCGACGCAAGGCTCCCAGAGACCAAACCCAGCGATCGTGAGAGAGGTGAAAGGGATGTCCCTGAAGGAACCAGAACAGACACCGAAGCCAGACCCGACCCAGCAGGTAAACCAGCATGATGAAGTTCAGACTCCTCAACCTATCTTTGACTCAAGTCAATTCCATCCAGCAGTCGACCTCACAGATGCATTCATAAATTTTAACATGCTGTTCATTCAAAACAGGAATTTTCTCAAATATAAATTAATATTATATTGGCATAGGTTAGGTTAGGTGTTTAGGTTCTGTTGGAGATTATTTGTATTTGTAGTACGTGGGTGAAGCATTTACAGCGTTGTGGTTCACACCATATTGGACAGTGAAGCACTTGTTCCAGAATTGTTCGAATGCCATCAGTTGAGTCGTGTGTAAACCGTTTTTCACTCATAAACATGGGGTTTGGCGGGTGCATGGAATCACTTTTGGGTCTTTGTTTGGAGGACGGGCTGGACTCTCGCACAACTGCTCAAGCAACCTCCAACCCAGGAACCCTCTCGAAATGGGTGAACCGGAGGGAGAGACAAGGAAATGGGTTCCATCCCAGGGCCGAACCAGATGGGGATATTCGCCAGTTCATCAGGAACTCGAACCTGGCGAGCTGGGAAAGAACCGAATCCCTGGCGAGCAGACACGCAAACAGGCTGGGAGCCCACACTACCCAGTCACTGAGGTAGGCTAGAATCCGAACCCCTAGCAGACGCAGATGGGTCACCACGACTTGGGTAAGATGCGTGAATACGCGAGGTACCAGATTCAAGTCAAAAGGAAGGTATTGAAAGCGGTTAGCCTACTGCCCCACCATGAAACCTAATCAGTTCCTGAACCCTAGATGAATCAGGATGTGTCAATACGCATCCTGGAGGACCAGACACACCATCCAAGAAGCCGGACCGGACAGATTGGTCATCTGAAAGGAGAGGCAAGAAATCCAGGAGTTCAAATGGGACAAGTCTAGAATGAACCGTAGATCCGCACAATCCTGTTTCGGCACTGGAAAAAGGCGGGTAACCCACCTGAGGGACAGAGTCGTTTTGACCACACCCAAGTGCACCCATGCAACGCACCCACTCCAAGATGACCAGACGGAGCGCAGGGACAGAAGTCTGTCCTGCCAGCCCCAAATCCCCTGAAGGAGGAAGAGTCGCCCAATGCCTCCACAGAATGGAGGATACAACCCGAAATACCCACGAATCAGGCGTGGGACCAGGTGTGAGCAAACAGCGCGAGCCTTGGCCCCTTATGAGAAGCCGGCTGACAACCAGATTCTGCTGGCTCAGAAACTGGCACCAATGAACCACTCCAACAAGAAGAACCCCAAGACCTGGCACAACCCTTCCAAGATGGCTGAGAACGGCCCCCACCGAGAACCAACAAGTTCGACGTAGGATGACAATTAGATGCCGCCGCCTGCAGAAACCGAGTGACCGCAGCCTCTGCAAACAGCAACGGACAAAAAGGCGAGGAAAACTTAAGAGCCATGGCTCAACTGGATTCCAAGGAAAGAGTGAGCATGGCCTGACAGCATCCAAGGCGAGAAGCAAAGAACACACACATTGCCTCCCTGAGAATCGGCGCAAACAGCTTCAACGGCGCGGCAGATGCCCGAGCCGCTGAGGCTAGCACACCAGACGAAGGCCCAACACTCAACGTCTCCACATCCTCCTCAAGCCAGTCTGAGAACAACTCCAGAAGGGAAAAGAAGTGCAAGACCGAAGCCAAATGCTCATGAGCACGCAAGTTCTCAGCAACCAAGGACGCCAAAAGGATGGGAACCTGCACATGCAAATGAAGAAGGCCAACAGCCTGGGAAAGCATAGGGAAGAAGAAACGTGCATTAAGGTACTCAATCTCGCCCCTTAGGTAAACCTGCAGAACTATAACCACCTCCCGCCACTCAAGCGTGTGGGTCCAACAAAACTCATGCAACGCCACCAGCGAAAAGAAAGGGCAGTCTGCCGGCCA